AGCAGGCACTTAGATTGAGTATCATTGCGCCAGCAGGCACTCAGATTGAGTGTCCTTGCCGATTTATTGTGCCAGCAGGCACTCAGATTGAGTATTGAGTATCTTTGTCGATTTATTGTGCCAATAGGCACTCAGATTGAGTATCATTGCTAATTTACTGTGCCAGCAGGCACTCAGATTATCTTTGTCGATTTATTGTGCCAGTAGGCACTCAGACTGAGTATCTTTGCCGATTTATTGTGCCAGCAGGCACTCAGACTGAGTATCTTTGCCAATTTATTGTGCCAGCAGGCACCCAGATTGAGTACACTGATTTTGCCGTGCCAAGGGGCACCCAGATTGAGCACACCGACTTTGCTGTGCCAAGGGGCACCCAGATTGAGTACACTGATTTTGCTGTGCCAAGGGGCACCCAAATTGAGTACACCTATTTTGCTACGCCCGATGAACGAAAAGCGACTATGCGCACTCAAACTTGAGTGCGACACTGCGCCCTTAATGTGAGAAAGCCAATGATGCATTGCGACTGTGCGCACTCGGTTTTGAGTACGACACTGCGCGATATTTGAGAGACCCGTTTTAATGATCTTGAGTACATGCGACTGTGCGCACTCAGATTTGAGTGCAACACTGCGCTCTTTATCTGAGAAACCCGCTTTGATGATTTTGAGTATGTGCGACAGTGCGCACTTTATCTGGCATGACGGTTTTTAGCATGTGCAACAGAGTGCACTCAATTTGAAAACTCAGCATTGATCATTCCGAGCAAGTGTGACTGTGCGCACTCGAACTTGAGTGTGACACTGCACGATCAATATGCAAAAACTTGACTTTTATGATTTTGAGTTTGTGCGACAGTGCGCACTCAATCTGTAGACTTTTGCTCAATCTGCGTACACTGCTTCTGATGATTCTGAGTGCGCGCCTAGGCTCAGGCAAGTCGTCTGAGTGCGCGCCCAGGCTCAGGCAAGTCGTCTGAGTGCGCGCCCAGGCTCACGCAAGGCGTCTGAGTGCGCGCCCAGGCTCAGGCAAGTTGTCTGAGTGCGCGCCCAGGCTCACGCAAGGCGTCTGAGTGCGCGCCCAGGCTCAGGCAAGTCGTCTGCAAGTCGTTTGAGTGCGCGCCCAGTCTCCGGTAGACTGTTTGAGTGCGCGCCCAGGCTCAGGCAAGTCGTTTGAATGCGCGCCCAGCCTCAGTTTGGCTGTTTGAGTGCGCGTCCAGTCTCAGTTCGACTGTTTGAAAGTGCGCCCAGTCTCAGTTTGACTGTTTGGATGTGCGCCCAAGCTTGGCATTGCTTTTCATCGCGCGCCCATGCGCGCCCAAGCTTGATAGAGTCTTTTGAGTGTGCGCCCGTGCGCGCCTAAGCCTGAGAGTATTATTCGAGTACGCGGCCATGCGCACCCAAGCCCGACATTGCTGTTAGAGTGTGCGCCCATGCGCGCCCAAGCTAGGCATTGTTGTTAGAATGCGTGCCCATGCGCGCCCATGATTGGCAGAGTCGTTTCTGTGTGCGCTCATGCATGCCCGGGCTTAGCAGTGCCATTTGAGTATGTGCTCACGTGCGCCCATGATCAGTATTGATATTTGAGTGCGCGCCCATGCGCGCCCAAGTTTGACGTTGATACTTGAGTGTGCGCCCATGCGCGCCCAGGCTTGATATTGATATTAGAGTGCGCGCCCATGCGCGCCCAAGCTTAGCATTGTCTTTTAAGAGTGCGCCCATGCGCACCTAAGCTTGGAACTGTGGTTTGAGTGCGCGCCCAAGCTTAGCATTGTCTTTTAAGAGTGTGCCCATGCATGCCTAAGCTTGGAACTGTGATTTGAGTGCACGCCCATGCGCGCCCAAGCTTAGCATTGTCTTTTAAGAGTGTGCCCATGCGTGCCTAAGCTTGGAACCGTGATTTAAGTGCGCGCCCATGCGCGCCCAAGCTTAGTATTGCCTTTTGAGTGTGCGCCCATGTGCGCCTACGCCTGGTATTGTCACATGAGTGCGCCTTGGCTTGGGTAGGCTATGTGAGTGAGTGCTATGATGACTCTAGGACGCATGTCCAGCGAGTGTGATTAGTCTTGAGGACATGACTGAATGCCTCTGATGGTATGACTAGCCCCAAACCCCCGCTGATTTGATTTCTTGC